ACATATTACTTTCTGGAGCATGCTGTACAAATGAGTACTTTGATTAAGAAGAAGAGAAGAAGAGGAGTTTGGATTTGATATCCCGCCTTTCACTCCCTTTAAGGAGTCTCAAAGCGGCTAACATTCTCCTTTCCCTTCCTCCCCCACAACAAACACTCTGTGAGGTGAGTGGGGCTGAGAGACTTCAGAGAAGTGTGACTGGCCCAAGGTCACCCAGCAGCTGCATGTGGAGGAGCGGAGACGCGAACCCGGTTCCCCAGATTACAAGTCCACTGCTCTTAACCACTACACCACACTGGCTCACAATTAAGGAATTGCGATTGTCTGAGCTCTCTTGAGAAAGAGACACGTAGAGAAACCCATGATATGTGTGAAAAACAGTCACAAAGGGTCACAGATTATAAATTGTCTATGCAATGTTGTTTCATGCTAAAGCATTCTTTTTCTGGAATCATTATCATTTTCCCTGTTTCTGTTGTTCAGGCTGAGAGTGCTGTTTGCTAATTGGGCCAACACACAAGATGGGTTGTAACAAGAGTCTCAAGGTTTGCATAAATACAAAAAAAGCAAGGGGAAACCTTTAGAGAGAGCTCAGCAGCCACAGCATACTGATTAACTCTTGGAGATGGGGATAGGAACCGAGGTGAAATGGAATGGGGTATTATGAAGGAAGGCGTGAATGGTTGAAAGCAGCACTCCACACTGTTGCAGGTTCCATATGTGTTAAGATTTTTGATTTTTTGAAATATTGACATTGTATAGCTTGTAAACATGAAACTCAATGCTAAGCTTGATACAGGGTTGCAGTGTTATCTTGTTCAGGTGTGCAGTTTCCTAATACTTTGCTGTTTTTCTTAAGGATGCACATTATTCTTCTACGAAAGTGATGGCAGATCTGGAATAGACCACAACAGCATCCCGAAACATGCTGTCTGGGTGGAAAACAGCATAGTGCAAGCAGTGCCTGAGCACCCAAAGAAAGACTATGTTTTCTGCCTCAGCAATTCCCTTGGTGATGCTTTTCTGTTTCAGGTTTGTTCTGTCCTTGGTTCATTACATAATTGTTTTCTTTCTTTGCACTTCCTTCAGGCAAAGACCCAAATGGTGTCCCAGCAGCTGAAAGATGGCACCTTCACACCTGATTATTTAGCAGCCTAATTATTTTATCAGCGGGTAGTCTTTGCTTTTGTAGCAGGTTCCAATACACTTCAGTGTCAAGATGCAACCAAATGGCTTTGTGACTTTCTTCAGCTTAGAGTTGATAAAGATCTGCTTCCAGTTTCTTAGGGAGGCCAGACTGTGTTATGTAGAGCAGTCACTATGTTGTGACATATTTGGGGCACCGTCTTCTGCCACAAGGAAATAATATCTAGGATCTAAAGGGAGATGTGTAAAACGTGCAGTTAATATATTTAGGGTTGAGTAGATCTGGGGGAAATATACTTCATAGACCAATAATTCTTTATGTTGCAGATCAGGGTATAGAACACTGTGCTTCTCAGTGCAAACTAGGAACATAGGAAGCAGCCTTCTACAGAGCCAGACCGCTGGTACATCTATACTTTCTCCACCATTGTTCTTTATTGACACTTAGATACTGGATATTGGCAAACAAGTCCTAATCTCTAAAGGCACAGGGGCTACAAAGCCTCAGAGTTATGCTTTTGCCTTCTGTCTATCTTTTTTAAATTAATCTGTCTGCCTTATGTTTATTTTCCTATATGCAGTGAATGAGAGTACCATAATTTACATTAAAGGGGGGCAGGGGTTCTTCCTTCATGCATGAAGTGCATTTTCCAAACTGGAGTGGCTCACTTGGTTGGGCTGGGGGGTAGTACAAGAACATATGGAAACAGCATTAGTGTAATAGACCATGAAGATCCTCCCCAATCGTATCTACATACTTAGACTGCTGCAAAATGTACAGATGCATTTTGTTTAGGAAACCTCAATTCTCAGAAAACAAATGTGGAAGGGGCAGAAAGGTCGCATGGAGTGCATGGCTTTTATGGCAACATAGAGCCTTATTTATTGCAAGTTCCATGCTGAGACATCAGCTTAGGTTTTCCAGTAACCTCGCATGGGAAAGAGCACAAAATGAACTTCTTTTTTTTGGAAAAAAGAATGAATTAGTGGGTTCTTTTCTTTTGAATTGTAAAGCTATTTGTTTGCAGTGTGTTGGAGCCCTTCTGAATCTAAAGGATTTTGAGGCTGAAACACGAGATGGATGAGAGGGGAGGAAGAACAATTGGACATAATTATGGAAATAATTGGCAAGTTACTGTAGCATACAAACTTGATTTGTTGTACAGAGAACTGCTAAAGCATGTACATCATTTGAGCTAGCAATAATATAGCCTTGCCCACATAATTCATGTACATTTAGAGTAACATGCAAACAGAATAAATAAGTTTCTTTACCGGGAATTGCTGCTTAGAATTTTCTGTGTACAAGTTCTTGACGGTTTTTTATCTCATTTACCACTCTCTACATTCAGTAGAAACTGCTGATGTAACTGAATTCAAAACGATGACGACAACAGCAACAACATTAATAATGGTCTTCCAGTCCTGCCAAAGGATATTTTTCATTGTAATCCTATTCTTGCATTTTTGCATCCAAACATGCCACGCGCCTGCTACTAATTTCCTCCTCAGCCAGGCAGCTGTGATGAGGCCTACACAGAGCCATTAAATTTGAAAGTCCCTTGGTGTTGCGAGATGCTTACTGCATCTTAAAATTGCATGCTCGTATTTCAGGTGTGTGCAGTTTCTTTGTAGGCTTTCACCTTTTCTTTGGAAGGAGAGTGGCCTTCTTATTTCCAGACTTGCTGTGTAAGTCTGGTCTCCTACACCTCCCCCCTCCCCAATGCAACTTAAAATAATAATAATAATAATAATAATAATAATAATAATAATAATAATGTCCCCTTTGTGTGACCACCCAGTCAAAACATTGCCATAACCAAAGACTGATTTTTTTGAGGTGGAAATCCATTATAATATTAACTTCACTCCCAGGTTTCTGTACATTTTGAATCAGGATTGTTCTGTCTGATTTCCACAGCTAAAAGAGCTGTTGTTACTATCCAGCTTGGAAGCACTGCTTGGTGAGCAAGAGTATTTTGCCTTGTGGCTCAAAATCTAGTTGTTTCCTCTTTGATGTGGGCTGCTCTGTTCATTACTAGTTTCCCTCTTCAGCTGTAAAGCATTGGTAGTCTCACAGAGGTATTGTGGGGCTATAATAATTAATGATTATAAGCTTTCTCAGCAACAAAGCACTATAGTTTTCATTACACTTACGATATCAGTGGGCACCATGTTCATTAATTATTTTATGAATTGTAGCGGACTAGCTGTGTAATTATTACGCTATAAAATATACAGGCATGCTTTCTGGTTACCTCAAGGTCTAAATCATTGTGCTCAAGGATGAGCCGAATATTATTGTAGTATTTGCGATGGGATAAAAAGGTAATTCCTGAGCCATTGCTAGGGAACCTTCTGTAGCTATAAAGCACTGGTGAAGATTTTGATTCTAATGCTGATTTCAAAAGGGCAAATTAAGAGTAGAATGCCTCTTCATCACATGTCTCATAAGTGAGATGAATAGAAGTGGAATCATTTCAAACCCAGCATGTTTTAACCAACATGATTCTGCTTCTCTGTTTTTTAGACTTCTAGTCAAACGGAACTGGAGAACTGGATTACAGCAGTTCATTCTGCTTGCGCAACTGCAGTGGCCCGACAGCACCACAAAGAAGACACTGTCAAGCTGTTGAAAACAGAGATTAAAAAACTGGAGCAGAAGATTGATATGGACGAGAAGATGAAGAAAATGGGGGAAATGCATTTCCTCAGTTTGTCTTCTGTCAGAGACTCCAAGAAGAAGAAGACAATTCTTGATCAGGTAACCTCACTTGCATGCATTAAATATATGGCCATAAAATAAATTTCAGGTGTCCACAAGTGTCTGTTACAGTTATTGTCCTTCTTTAAATAAAATTGTTTTTATTAAATATTTTGAATTTTATAAATCCTAAAAACAACATAAGACCAGAATAAACAACTTGGTAGTAACAGAGTGATTGTGATGATCTTAAGTAGCTGGGGTAAAACTGAGGATCCATTGGACTTTCTGCTTTCTTTTTCAACTGTGTTGCTTGCATGGGTGTTGCTAATGGTGCTTCAGAAGCTTCATATATTTCTTCCTCCTTGGAGCATTGCATCTGGTCATCTTCTGTACCTTATACTTCCAGTTTGAATTTGGCAATGTTCAGCTGACTTGACCAAAAGAAAATTTACTCTGATGGCAAATATCTGTCTTACTATTGCAGTGGCCATTTGTAGCTGTAAGCAAGGGAACATAGGAACCTGCATTTACTGAGTCAAACCCATGGTTGGTCTTCTTCTTCTTCGGCAATTGCTCGTAGCTGAGTAAGATTGTCTTTCATGAACATGGTCTTAACAGTGAGTCCATAAGTGACCGTGGAGGCCAATTCTGGATCCACATGTCCTTCCACAATGGAGACATAGGTTTTTGGGTGGGGGTTGATCACGGTGAGGGTTTGCCAAGCATGCCTTCCTCTTAGCACGTTTCTCCCTTTCATCCTGAGTTCAAGCATCTTCAAAGCCCATGGCACCTTTGGTATAGGCTGTTGTCCAATTGGAGAACTTGCAGGCCAGTGTTTCCCAGTTGTCTGTGTTTATACTACATTTTTTTAGATTTGCCTTGAGAGAGAGTCTTTAAACCACCACCAGCATTACGCTTTCCATTTTTAAGTTCCGAATAGAGTAGTTGCTTTGGAAGACGATAATCTGGCATCTGTACAACATGACCAGTCCAAAGAAGTTGATATTGAAGAATCATTGCTTTTGACACTGGTGATCTTTACTTCTTCCAGTACACTGGCATTAGTTCGCCTGTCTTCCCAAGTGATGTCTACACTGACTGGCAGCAGCTCTCCAGGTTTCAGACAGGGAGATCTCCCCACCCTACCTGGGGATGCCAGCAATTGAAACTGGTACCTTCTGCATGCACTGCAGATGCTCTGCCACTGAGCTACATCCTTGTCTAAAAGCAGACTAAACAAATTCTTAGAGGATATCAATGACTACTAATCACAATGGCCATGTATCTCCTTCTGCTTCAGAGGCCCTGTGTCTCTGAAACTTAGTTGCTAAGGAACACAAGTGGAAAAGTGCTATTGCATTCATGTCCTGCTTGTGGGCTTCTCATGGTGTGATGCTTACTAGGGAGCAGGCCCCATTGAGTTCACCAAGCCTTACTTCTGAGTAAGTGTACTTACGATTGCAGTGTTAATCATGGAAAGGAACATATGGAGCCCCCTTTGCTGAGCTGCAGCAGCTCTTTAACCAGGCCTCTAAATGTAACTAGAATGTTAACCAAAGAAAAACTATGCAGTATTATGGAGATTTCTATCCTTTTCAAAGTGTTCCCTACTAGCAATCTGCACGGCACAGGCTGATGGTGGCATTCTGCTCTGCATCTGACAGATGTTAATGTATTCCCCAGTGTGCTTTATTCATTTTCTTTAGTACAATGACAAACTTCATTGCTTTTTAAGCTGCTGCTGCTGCTGACAACCTAGGGATTTTTATTTTTTTTGCTGTAGTTCTGGTGTCTTCATACCTCTATTGTGTTTCATAAAAACACTCTCTCGGTGAGAGGAGAATCCAGCTGCAATAAAGAGGAAATTAAAACCAGAATTTTAATGTTATTAGCATCGTATCAAAGTAATAGTTATATTCGGATGTCTCCCCCTTTGAAAATAATGATATTTACTTTTCTCCAACTTAGATCTAAATCCCCCTTATAAATATAATAAATTTGGACAGTGAAAGACAATTTTATAAAATCTGGTATATATACTTGTGTGTTATTGTATGGTATCATATGGACTTTAATGTTTACTTACCTCTGTGATCATCTTCTTCTAGATCTTTGTTTGGGAACAAAACCTGGAACAGTTCCAAATGGATCTCTTTCGGTATCGTTGCTACTTAGCTAGCCTCCAGGGTGGGGAACTGCCAAATCCAAAAACGTTGCTCGCATTTGCAAGTCGCCCAACTAAAGATGCAATGGGCCGTCTTGGAATCTTTTCAGTGTCTTCTTTTCATGCACTGGTGAGTTTAAACTGATGCCAGAGGTTATTGTTGCTAAAATAGAAATCACTTGGTGCTTTTGTAAGAAGGTTAACTGAGTGCTGTTGCTGTGCAGCCTCTGTACATCTTGGTGATATAAGTTTGTGCTTGGTCTCTGCTATCAGCAAAAAATATGTCTGTCTCCAAATATTTTTAGCATTTTTGGGGTGAACAATTTGAATCAGTCTTAACATCTCAAAGAGATAAAATTATTATTATTATTATGTTTCATATGTTTTTGGGTGCTAGAATCCTTTTTATTGCCATTTCTTATTGTAAAGGCTATCATTCTCATTCATTGTTAATGGTGAGAACATGAGAAGAGCTTGCTGGATCAGGCCAATAGCCCATCTATTCCTTTCCTCCCAGCGGCCAACCAGATCCCTGTGGGAAACCTGCAAGCAGGATTCGAGCATAGGAGCACTTTCCCCTCCTGTGGTTTCCAGCAATGGCTATTCAGAAGCATTACTTCTCCAACTCTGGAGGCAGAGCATAGCTGTCATGGCCTTCAATAGCCCTCTCCTCCTCCATGAACTTGTCTAACCCTCTTTTAAGGCCATCTAGGTTGGTAGCCATCCCTGCCTCCTGTGGAAGCAAGTTCCATATTTTATCTCTGTACTGGATGAAGAAGTACTTTCTTTTATCCGTCCTGAATATTACAGTGTTCAGCTTCATTGGATGTCCATGAATGGGGGGGGGGGGGGGCTTTTAGCCATCCGCTTTCTCCAGGCAATGCGTAATTTCATGTCACCTCTTACTTGCCTTTCCCCCCAACTGAAAAGTCCCAAATGCTGCAACCTTTCTTCATAAGGGAGTTGCTCAACCACCATCAATTCATATCGCATGAGCGTATGCAGATATATTATAGAAGTAGCTATCACTGAGTCAATTATTGCATAAGCAATTGCTGGAAAACCAGTTTGGTAACTATTTTAGTTGAAAAGTGGAAATAATCATCTATGGTAACTTTTACATTATTTCTGCTAGTGTTGTGATTTGATTGTGTAAATCTTTTGGATAACAAGTTAATAGTTTTAATAATACTTTATCCGGAAAAGGATAACTGACTGGTCTCAGCTCATCATGCTGAAAGAGGATAATGTATAACAAAGTGAGAAGTTATCCAGTAGTGTTTGTAGTTAGCTACTTTAGAGTTGTGGCATCCTCACCACCAAACCTGTCTCAGGCTGTGTAAGAGAATGACCTATCCCTGAGCCCACCCTCACCACAGCTGCAGCCAGAACAGAGTGGAAGGGGCAGCCAAAATGTGTCTCCGTATGAAAGGCAATTTGAATACATTCTGTTTTGCTTCTCAGAGGCAAGGAGCAGATGGAGAGTGTTGGGCACCAGAGATAGTCTTTCTAAGCCACCTAAGCAAGAAAGGCACCTGAGAGCCCCAGAAAGCTAGAGAGTAGGCAGGCATGGAGACTGAACCAATTGGATAAGGTACTGGGGGAGGCAAAAGTGGAAGTAACCTAGGAGTGAAGTAACTCCTTTTCTCTGCCCCCCCTTTAAAGAGGGTGTGCTTTGTTGTTGTTTTTTTGTCTCAGTTTGCCCTCTAGGGGTTACTGACAGAAGTGCTGTTAACTCATAAACTCTTATAGCTAAAGGACGCTTTCGTATTAAATTGCTCTTACGCATGTTACATAGCTCTTGCCCTGGGCTCTCTCCGTAATACAGTATAGCCATACTGGTTTCATTTCCCAACTGCGCTCCTATAATAAGTCATCCTTGTCATACCTTTCGCTGCTCTGTCTTTCACAAAATGACCACATAGGCGACCTGACTCAAGAGTTGGTGATTCCACTTGGACTCACCAGTTGGGAGAAAAATCCCAGGTGTATAAAATGTTGTCCTCTGACCAAGTGATGTTACCTTAATTTGCTTTCAGAATAAAATATAACTTGGAATTTCTGCTAGCAGTAGTCCTTGATGAGAAAAAAATGGCCCGTTGTTGTTGAGAGTAACAATTGATATTTATATAGTATTATATAATTTGTAGGATGGGAACAGAATTGCCACCTATGAAATGTATCTAGTGTATGGATGCTGATTGTAAAACATAGTTAATGTTCAGCAGTTTGTCCTAATGAATCACTGTGTTAGCATCTGGCTCTAAAAGTCAAACCAAAAATGGGTTTAAACTGATAGATTTCTGAAAACAAGTATGATGGGCGGTATTTGATTAAGTTTGACTCAGCGCAGACCCATTTAAATTAATGACCATACTAAGATAGGTATAATGATTTCAATGGGTCTCCTCTGAGTAAAACTTAGTTGACTACCACCCTATGTCTGCCCCAGTCTTTAGCACATACAAGGTAATTTTTGATTCAACATAATTTATACAAACCTCTTTAAAAATCTTGGCACGCCTTAACATCTATGTATCCTCATTAAAATTATGAGGTCTGGCACTCTAGCTTTGCTCTGATTGTGGTGTCTTTGGTTGAATGGCTTTGAATGCACCTTGCAGGTGGCCGCTCGCACAGGTGAATCTGGTGTCAGGAGAAGAACACAGGTGATGTCAAGATCAGCAAGCAAACGGAGAAGCCGTTTCTCTTCCCTTTGGGGTTTGGACACCACTTCAAAGAAAAAGCAAGGGAGACCAAGCATTAATCAGGTAGCCTACCTCTTGAGAGAAAAAATTGCAAACTTCTTGGTTGGATCCTGAGCTCCAGCCTGTTTTTGGGGGGTCTGGTATAATTTTTCTACAATCTCTGAACTTTGCATTTCCACAAATACAGGAATGAAGTGTGGCAGATCTTGGTAAGCATCTTCCTTTAGTTTCCCACACAGGGTGTTTGGGGTGGTGATGAGGTCGGCACTAGTTGGAGTTACCGCTTCATAAATTGTTGGAAGTATTGCTAGAATTTCACCACAACTTATGAGCTGTTTCTTAAGTGCACTTTTCTGGCCTTGCATTTCTCCACTTTGATCTGATTCCCCACACATCCCTGAATGGGTCTCAGTAGGTTGTGGTTTAGATGGGGCAACCACCCTTGTTGGATTAGACCAGACAGCCATTTGCATTTGGCTGTTTTCCTAGCCAGGAAGGAATTTTATCCAATTTTAATTTGAGATGATAATTTCCTCCCTTGAAACATTTATTCATTTGTCCCAGTAACATGAGATCTTTCCAAATTTAGAAAGCATTTGCATCATCCTATTGTAATTTAAAATAGCACGTTCTGTGCCTCTGCAGGTGTTTGGTGAAGGAGCTGATTCTGTAAAGAAATCTTTAGAAGGAATATTTGATGACACTGTTCAAGAAAGCAAGGTAAAAAAAAAAAAGAACATTTATTAATTTACACAAAGGAGTTCAATTAGCTCGTGAATCTGTTTTTAGAATGAAGCCCACTCCTTTAGGACAAAGTAAAAGTATTGAAGGGAAGAGCGAGTCTTGCGGCAGCTCAGCTCTGCCAGATGTCAGCCTGTTTGAAACATGGCCAAGCGATGAGGTAGAGGGAGCTTGGCGCTGCTCAGCTCCAGAGTGTGCTGCAGAGAAGGGAACTCTTAAACCTTCAATGGTATTTCTGCGAGTGAGGCCAGTAGGTTCATGGTCATTGGCCCCTGGAGGTGGGTAGTGTTCTGATTCTGTAGTTTACCTATGCTACCATTGATTAAACCTTTGTCTATGAAGAATATTGGGGGGGGGGAGGAATTCCTTGTATCAGAAGACCTATTAGAGCAATAATTTTTAATAGCTACTTGTTAATCAGGATTTAATTTAATTCTGCCCCTAAACCTATAAATATGAGGCAGGATTTTTTTTTTCTTATCAGGACATGTAAGAATGTAGTAATTGTCCTCGTGGATCAGAGCAAAGTACTTGTCTAGTTCAGCAGTCTGCCTCCAGCAGTAGTCAGGCACATGCTGCCAGGAATTTTTCACACAGGTTTCTGAT